CGCAGTTTATGTTGACCCCCCCCCCGGGTTTTGGTTTTAGAAAGGGGGGGAATATGAGGGTCGGCGCTGAGTAGTGCTTAGACTGTGGAAGCAAAATCGGAAAGACTTGGGTTCAAATCCCAGGGGTGATGGGGGTGGCCTTAACTTCCCAGTTATGGTGACCCTGTGAATGAATGGAAGGGGCGTGTCCTGACAGCCCTGCTCAGGTGTGTGGCGTACTGAGGGCCTCGGCTTCCTGGACAGAGTCCGTCCATCTCCTGTTGGGTGGGTCTTCCCACCTTCCACTTCCCCCAGCATAGTTGGCTTTTCCAGGGAGCCTCGGCTTCTCCTGATGTGGCCAAGTCGTTGTAGCTTCTAGGGAAAGTTCAGGCGGTGGCGGTAGGAAGAAAATGGAGCAGGGCAAGACCACGACTGCGACCACACACACGAAACAATGCACTTTCAATCCACTCTCTAACTGGGTCTTGCTGTGTGAACTGGCAAAATCCAGTTGTAAAGAGCATTGAAAGTGGATTGAAAGTGCATCACTTCGTGTGTGTGGTTGCAGCCCTGTCAGGGACATGGTCAACATTGGGGTTGATCCTGATTTAAATGGAGACCCCTTGTCTTATTTCAGACGGCCCAAGGCACAGAGGTCTAGGTCATGAGACTTTCATTTTCCACCCTGCTGCCCCCCCCCCCCCGGTCTAGAATCAGAAAGTTATTTTAATTCATTTGTACCACACCTTCTCCCCAATGGGCTTACATTGTTCTCTCCTCCGTTTTATCTTCACAACAGCCCTGCGAGGTAGGTTAGGCCAAGAAAGTGTGACTGCTCCACAGTCACCCAGCAAATTTCCATGGCACACGTGGGAATTCGAACCTTGGTCTCCCAGTTACTAGTCCGACCGCCTTAACCAGTATGCCACACTGCATTGGGGAGTGCCTTCCATTATTCACCCGAGCTGCTTCTGGTGGGAGGATGCAAGGTCTGTTGCTGCTGCCTGTAATAATACTCGGCGTTTCCAGTGGTCTTTCGAGAGTTCAGTGCACTTCATGTTTGTCTCACGGAATCACTCAGTTGCCTTTTCATTGCCTTTGCCAACACAGGTAGAGGTTTTTGCACTAATCTGATTAATCCTGCTCACGTTCTGCTGTTTCCTGCCCTATGCCTGACCCACCAGGACCCTTCCTGTGGAGAATACATGCATCTGCAGAGGAGGGTTGCCAGCATCTTCACTGAGTCTACTCCTCTGCCAGTCACTGCTGTCGGGCGTGCAAAGACGGGGCTGGAGCAGCTGCCACTTTGTCGAAAGGCTCGCCAGCTAAACGTCTCTCTGTTGGGTGCGGCAGAGCAGAAACGGTGGCGCCTTTGTCTCGTGAACAAACGTATATAAATATCAAATTGACTTACACCTGCTTTCCCATGATTGTGGTTGGGGCATTCTGCGGGTTTAAAGGGCCGTAGTTTGGCGGTTCAAGACCCCAGCGCCTGCCAACCTAGCAGTTTGAAAGCAGGACATTGCAAGTAGTTAAACAGGTACCGCTTCGGTGGGAAGGTAACAGCGTTCCCCGCGCCTCGGCGTCTAGTCACGCCGGCCACGTCACCACGGAAACATCTCAGGACAGTGCTGGCTCTTCGGCTTGGAAACGGAGATGAGCACTGCCTCCCGAGAGTCGGATTCGACTGCCTTTCGAGCAAGGGAAACCTTTCACCTTTACTAATAGGGGATTAGACAGATGCACGGCGGAGAGGTCTATCTACAGCGATTGGCCACGAACCTCCATGTTTGGAGAATCATAGAATGTTAGAGTTGGAGGGGACCTTGCAGGTCATCTAGTCCAGCCCCCTGCACTCTGCAGGATCATAGCCGAAAGCACATGCTGTGATGGATAGACACTCCTCCCATTGTGCGTGTCCCTTGTTACGATGATCGCAGATGATGATATTCACTTAAATAATCGCTGTTATTTCTTGCTTCCCAGCCTCCATGCAGAGGTGGCTGCGTTGGCAGTGGCGGGTTGTGGCAGCCTGCTCAGAAAGCGTCCACATGGTGGAAAGACCCTGGCTTACATAGTCCTTCTGACGTGTAACCCATTAACCCTCCCCTCCCCTCCTCTCCCCTCCCCTGGAGATTTATTTGATTTGCGCTTGTTGCACAATTGGAAAGGGTTGAGAAACTGGTTTTTGTGAGCTGAGCTGCCAGCGGGTAGAGATGTGTGGGTGGAACTGCTCCGCGGGGAGGAGGGGCGAACACCCCTTTGGTGAAAGCCAGATACTGGCCCTGCTTTCTCTATCCCCCAACCACCACAATATATGCACCCTTTCCCCTGAGCGCTCTATGTCCAAATAACTGCAGATTCCTGAAGACCAGAGCATACTTCAGATATCTCTTTGGCTTGCGGGGGGGGGGGCCTGGGAGCCCCAAGCCCACTTTTAATTGTCCATTAAGTTAGACTTTTAAAAAAACAAACCAACCCCAGTTGCCTGCAGAGACTAAGAATTGCCACTAGGTGACCGGGTAGGGGAGTTTCAGAAACATTGATCCATGTACAGCCGTGTTGCTCTGGTCAAATGCTCCCACTAAGCTGTGGGGTCTTGTGAGCAAAAATTCTACTTTGTGAGCTCCTGGCATTTAAGTTGTGCGCGAGCGATTTGGCTGCTGCATAAATTAGTTTGCTCCGGAGCCCTCCTTCCTGAGCCAAGACAAAAATGTGTGAGCCGGAGGCTGAAAAACTGTGAGCTAGCTCACACTCACTCAGCTTAGAGGGAACACTGGTCTGGGCTCTTAACTTTGTTCACAAACATTGGTTCTTCTAGTCTGCAAATGACTCTGAGAATTATTAGCGTGCTAGTAAGCAGAGGACTAGCGACTTGTGTGGGCTCTTTAGCATGGCTGCGTTCCAGTTGAGACTTTGCTTTTCTCCGACAGGGGCTCTTTCTTGCATGGGGAGAAGGCTGAAATACAGCCGTGATCGGCTTTCCCGGTTGTCACATCTTTGTGCCAAGCGCAGTTGCCCCTGTTTGATCAGGAGAGAAGAAAGGGACCATTTTTAGTCCCAGACTTTACTTCCTACAGTATAATTGCCATCTTCCGGAGGGAGGCAGTGCCTCTAAGGGAAGACTAGGGGAGAGGGTCACTGGTCGTATGCCTGCTTTGCGTGCAGAAGGCTCCGATCCTTGACTTCTCGAAGAGCAAGTGTGGGGAAAACCCCATCCCTGTGTCAGACTCCCATCACATCAACGAAGTACACACTTGTAGAAAAGGTTTTACTTTATTGTTTGAAGTGAAAGGTGCATAACAGGATCACTGTACAGAATGAAGCAAAAGCAGGGGACGCAATGGATTATAGGAAATTCAAAAAGCTGAGGCCCAATTGCGGGAGTTCCCCCGCGCGCCATTGAGCCTGGGAAGCAACGCTCTTGGGTAACCATAACATATTTGCTTCTCATGGATAGTACCATGAGATCACCCAAACTCCTCCCCGCCAGCAACCACCTGTGGCCTTGAGAGATACGGACGTTCCTGCAACTAGGCAATTAAGCGCAACAACAATGTTGGGTATTGCATGTTGAAAACACTCAGGGTGTGTGTATGGGGTTAAATGTCTGTTTTGTTGTCACAGGAAATCACCTGCCTTTGTGTTAGCCAATGTTAGCTTAGAGCTGCAAGCCCGCGAAAAGCATCCCTGTTCTGAGAGTTTGATTGGGAGCAAAGTGTTAGTGTCTTTGCATTTTATGGCTCCTCTTCCCCTCTTTGTTCTGTTTGGAGAAGAAGCATGTTAGAGAGTGGCCATTGGTCCTTCTAGTCTAGTACTTTGTAGAGAGAGGATGTAGCTGAGATAGCTGTGTTGTTATTTTCTCCCAGTTACCCTTCCCTATGGTAGAATTGTAGTAAATCTTTTATATTTTAAACACACAATGGACTCTGCGTCTGATTATTGAACTCTGGCATTGCTAAGCTGTTTTTAACTGCTGAATTTTGTATAAACTCCAACAAACAAGCATACACGGGAAAGTGAAAGCAGACAAGCGCATATCTAGAGAACAGAGAAGCGCCTACCTAGGGAATATACAATGGCATACAGAACGCATAAGAAAACACATTGGTGGCTTGCTGACACGCTGCCAGTCAGAGGAGAGAGTGCTGAGCTAGCCGGACCCCTGATCTGACTCTATCAGAAGGCCCTCTCTGCCTTCACCTTTTAATCCATGTTCATCGTGGTGCCCTCCAAGCAATTGTGCGCTAAAATCAAATCCAACCTTCTCTTTAATCCAGGTTCCCCACCCCATTTTGGACTAAAATTGAGTTCAGCCTTCTTTTTATTCTGGTTTTCCCCCCATTCTGCATCACATTCCCTCCCTTCAGTTGTCAGCCCGGTTTCAGCCTGCCGTTGCCCCGGGTTATTTGGATGCTGTTTTGCCGTGGACTTAAACTGGTTCAGCTCGAACACCGAGAAAATCTGGAGTGGCAGGCAAATGCGGAAAGGACCTCAGGTACAAGATCAAGTGAATTCATGCCGTGCTATTCCCCGTTACTGCGTATGGGTGTGGAAACTGGGCAATGAAGAAAGCCAACCGGAAGAAAACTGAATCATTTGAAATGTGGTGCTGGAGGAGAGTTTTACGGAGACTGTCGGCCACCAAAAAGACAAGCAGTTCAAATCAACCCTGAACTCTCCCTAGAAGCTAAAATGACCTGAACTGAGGCTGTCGTACCCTGGTCACATGATGAGAAGACAGGAATCACTGGAAAAGATAATAATGCTAGGAAAAACCAAAGGCAGCAGGGAAA